CACTTTCAGAATTATCTTTTGGCATAAGAGATATTGAAATATTTATAGGTAAAAATATCAATAATTTAAGATTGTCCATTTGGTTTTCCTTTTGATTTTTTTTGTGAAGGAATTTGTGGAAATGGAGAGATAGATAAAGCTGAATAATGTGATGATGGAAATATTTATCCTTTTGATGGATGTTTTAATTGCCAATATTCTTGTGTTGAAGGTTGTTCTAATTGTATTAATGGAATTTGTTTTGAATGCTAAGAAGGATGGACATTCTAAGAATTTACATGTACTAAAGATTTCCTTATAAATACTCAAGATTAATTTCTTATTGAATAGCAGTAATAATGTTTAAACAATTGTAAATTATGTATAAATAAGATGTGTTAAGAATGTGATATTGGATTCTATTTAATCAACAATAAATGTTAAACTATTTGTGGAGATGGAATAATAGCTGGAGATGAAGTATGTGAATTAGATTAATAAGATTGTTAAAATTGTTAATTTATTTGTTCTAAATATTGTGATGTATGCATAGAAGATGAATGTCGGTAATGTATAATTGGATATAAATTTGATTATATTGAAAAATATTGTTAACCTATATGTGGAAATGGTGTTTTGTCTGATAATGAAGAATGTGATGATTTTAATATAGAAAATGGGGATGGATGTTCTAGTTAATGTAAAATTGAATAGAATTATATTTGTAAGAATTATTAGTACTCATTTTCAGAATGTAATTATTAAAAATATCCTTCATTCTAACTTTCATTAAAAAATACATATCATTAATATTAATATGTGTCTATTTATTTTGATTAAATGGTTAAAACAAAGAGTTAGAATGTTTTTTCGAAAATGATAAGTATGCGTTTAATTGGACCAAAAGAAATATATTATGATTTAAATTTGATTCCAATCCAAGAACCCTTTGAATTAGTTTCATCTGCAGAATATTTAGTGGAAGTTGTAATAAATACTACTTTATCATAACCTCCTATTTTAGAAGTAATTCTAGAAGATTAACTCTTTAATCAAAATGATGCTCCACTTATCAATCATATTAATTAGATCAAACTTAATCTTCCATAATACCTAGATGATCATTAAAAATAGAATGCTATTTACCTTAAAGAAGTTGCTAAATACACTATGATTTCAATGGGAGGATCAGTTGTGTTAATATTGATTCTTTGTGGCTCATTATTAATTTAAGAAACACTTGAAATACTTCAATAGTAATCCTACCTTAGATTTATTAATGTAATTTTTCCTCTTAATTTATTTATTTATTTTGAATCAAGTAATTTGATATCAATGTAACCTATTTTCGACAAAATTAGAATTGATAATGTATAAACATCATTTATGATTGATTAATATTTGGAATCTTAAGGGAAATTATTATTCTATGAAGTAAATGCAGATATCTTATTTAATATTTAAACTTAAGTATTCCTAATTATCATACTAATGATTACCTTTTATTTAAATTATTTTTTCATAAAACTATTAAGGAAATTAGAATATTAATAGTTTTTTTATTTTGGTTAATATATTGCTAAATTTTTAATGAAAGTCTTAAAGTCTATGTAAAAATTCAAAAGAAACTTTGAAACTTAAGCATTCTAAGACTTTCTGAACACAAATAGTTGGGATCTCCTTTTTATGTCCTTTCTCTAAATCTAGTCAAAAACTAACAACATTATTTCTAAAGTAATTGCATATCTGATTTTGTATATCAGTCTTTTTCTTTCATCAACAATTTTTAATAGAATAAGTATTCCAAATATAAGGAATCCTAGAATAATTATGGATTTCAAAGTCAAATTAAATCAAAATATTGAAAAAAGCTTTATTTATAAGCGTATTAGTGATGGTTCAATAAAATCAAAAATTACAAATTATGTTATTAACTTTTGTATGTTAATTCGATTTAATCTATCTTTTCATTACGAAACCTTTTAAGAACATCATAGATTAAATTAATACTATGGCATTGGAAATAAGTTCATTTATATTTTGTTTTTCATCAGCATTTTATTGGAATGATTTTACAGATAAATTGAATTATAGTATTTAAATATAATTTGGATGGTTTTAAATAGGAATGTTATTGTCATGCTTATTTATTAATTTCGTTTCATAATTATGCATGATAGGTGTAGAACTGAAAAAGATTATAGTTAAAAAGTTATATCATTCCAAATAAAATTAGATGCCAATGAAAACTAATCCATTTTTAATTCCTTGAGAACTTTTTTGAATTTTAGTGTAATTATATAACCATATCATATAATAAAAGCATATAAAATGTTAATTTGAATATCCTTTTATTAATCGATAGATTCATAACTTTATTTCCAAATTTAATACAATCACCTTAATTGACTTAATTATTTTCAAACTCTTTTCCCATTTCTTTTTCTGTAAAATGTATAAAATTTCATTTTTACACATTTTCAAATATCTCCATCTAAATTTATTATTAAAATAATTTATAATCATTAAAATAAAAATTTATCGAGAACTGTTAAATTAAATAAAAAAATCTATATTTATTTTGAAGATATTTGCAAATTTAAATAAAAATATATATTATTCATTAAGATATTCATTTCAAAAATAAAATATACAGTTTGATTTTGTTTTCATAATAAAGTACTAAACTTAGTTGAATTTTTCATTTAATTTTAATTACAAGCTCCTCTTATCTTTTATTTTTAGAAATATCAAATAATTTAAATTATGGCCTACAAGAGGAGACTTTCTTTCAAAATAACATAAATGGGTTATATTTTCATCAAAATATATTTGATTTCAAATTAGTGATTCTAATTCTTAATAACATATGATCGAAAGACTTATTTATAAGATAGCCCCATACAACCTAAGGGAATCATTTCAGAAATTACATAATTCTTTAATATTTTGATATATTGTACAATAATTAATGTTAAGACATAAATAAAATATGATTAAATTGACAGATGATCATCTAAATAAATTATCATATTGTTATTAGCTTAACAATAAACTTGATAAAATATGATTTATATTCTTTTTAAATTTGCATATTAGAAATAAATTATCATTGGAAATAACAAAGAGAATCAAAAAGTAGTTGTAAAATGAGATTAGCTTTGTTTTAAATTAAGATGAAAATCGAAATGCCTATATATATTTTAGTATTGAGAATTTGCCATATCAAATATTATTTTTAATTTATTATATAAATATGAGTAAATAATCAGCTAAGTTAAAATCATATTTGATACCTTTAAGTTTTAATTTTTATGAAATATCATAATTTGCTTTCAATAAAGCTTGATTAAAATTTATTCATTTTTTGATAATAAAATTCTTAAATTAAAATCTATTATTTGAACAATTTTATTCTTTTTAAAAGATAATTTTAAACATCAAAAAAACCTAAATATTTGAAATCCAAATAAACAAAAAATCTTTTTTTTTTATTCCTTCGATTATCACAAGAGTAATTTTTATTTATTAATAAAAAATTTATAACTTTCTTAACAATTATTATTAATTTAATAGAAAATAAAAAGATGATATCAATATGAGCAAAAATATTTATACATTGTTATTTTGTTTCTTAATAGTGATTATATATATGCACAGGCATTCTAATGAGTTTTTGACTAAATTATCAAAATTAAACTCCCAGAATATAACATTATATGCATATTTGTTATAACTTAAAGAATTGATTTTTTCTAAGGATTTATGATTTTGATGGTTTGAAAATTCAATAAATATCATTAAATTCTTATTATTTATATGATGAAAACATAATAAATAAATTTAAATGCAAACTATTGAAAGATAAAAAATAGATGATATGCTTAATAATAATATGGTTGACGAAGCTTTGAATTATATTAATGATTCTTTATATTTGTGCCCTAATTCTGCTTCTGCTTAAACCTTAACATTAAAAGGTAATTATCTCTGAAATTCTAATAGGAAAAATCTTATTAATCAAAAAGTTATATGATGAAGCAATCATTAATTTGAATTAGGCAATTCAATTAAACCCATTTATAGAAGAATCATTTTATCTTAGATGTAAATTTGTTTTATAATTTAAAGCAAAATGGTTTATAAAAAAAAAATGTGGAAGGAAGCTCATGATGATTGTGAACGTGCTCTTAAATTAAATCCCAATTATGCTTTGGCATATGCAGGATTGGGTATAATGATAAATAATAATTAGGGATATTGATGGTAAAATAAAGTAAAAATTATGATGGACTTTTTTTTTTAAATAAGCTATAGAATTAGATGATAATTGTTGCTTAGCTTATTATAATTTAGGTTTTAAGGTTTTTTTATTATTTAGGGAATCTATATTTACATATTGATAATTATGATCCGGGATTAAGAAATTTAAATAAGGCTATTTAAATTGATAAAAAATTTGCTAATGCTTATGAAAAAAGAGGTTTCAATTTATGATATATATTAGGAATGTTATTTTGGAAAACAGGCTATAAAGATAAGGCACTAAAAGACTTTGACAAATTAATAGAATTAAAACCAACATCTTATAATGCATATGCTTGTAGAGGTAAACTAATTATTAAATTACTTAGCAATTTTAAACGAGATTATTGGAGAAGATGAAAAGGCACTCATTGATTTTAATAAAGTGATTGAATTGAAATCTGATTCTATGATGCTTTATCATCAAAGAGGTAGATTATTAATGAAAGAACATAGGACTTTTAAAAATGAAGAGTTTGAAAATAGATGAAAAAGAAATTACTTAAATGTTAAACAATAAAGCTTTTGATTAGAATTGTTGGAAATAGTCTAAATTAAGAAGTAAACTAAAAAAATATTATAAAGAAATTATACTAGGATAGCAATAAATTATAATGCAAACTATTGAAGATTTTAATAAAGCTTTTGAATTGAATCCTGAATTTCTTCAAGCTAAATTTTGTAGAAGTAATTGATATTTAATACATAGATTTATTAAAAGGAATGATTAATGGTGATAGAATAAGTTTGAGTGGATTTATTGAATTCCTTTAAATAAAACCTAGTTTATTTGATAGTATTATTAATATTTAATAATATTCTAGAAGTCGTTGATTAAGATCCTAATTAATCTGAAGAAGATGAGATTAGTAGTAAGTATTTTAACATAATTAAATAGTGTTAAAATATTATTTTTGTGGAATTAAAAATTAGAAATTAAAAGATTCTGAAAAACCAATTGATATCGATTACAAAACTTTACTTTAATATTTTAGTTAATGTAATTAGAAGAATTATATTATAAGCACCTATAGAATAGAAGATAATTAAGTAAGAAAAAATGATAAAAGAATTAATCAATAAGATTGAATTAGATTCAAATTCAGCTGAATTGTATATAAATATAGGTAATATATCACTAATAATAAGGAAATTTATATATGAAATAAAGAAATTATGAATTGGCACTTGAAAATTTAAACAAAGGTATTGAATTGGATCCAAAATCTTTTTTAGCTTATTTTAAGAGAGGTATGAATTAATAGAAAANGATTGGGTATAATGATAAATAATAATTAGGGATATTGATGGTAAAATAAAGTAAAAATTATGATGGACTTTTTTTTTTAAATAAGCTATAGAATTAGATGATAATTGTTGCTTAGCTTATTATAATTTAGGTTTTAAGGTTTTTTTATTATTTAGGGAATCTATATTTACATATTGATAATTATGATCCGGGATTAAGAAATTTAAATAAGGCTATTTAAATTGATAAAAAATTTGCTAATGCTTATGAAAAAAGAGGTTTCAATTTATGATATATATTAGGAATGTTATTTTGGAAAACAGGCTATAAAGATAAGGCACTAAAAGACTTTGACAAATTAATAGAATTAAAACCAACATCTTATAATGCATATGCTTGTAGAGGTAAACTAATTATTAAATTACTTAGCAATTTTAAACGAGATTATTGGAGAAGATGAAAAGGCACTCATTGATTTTAATAAAGTGATTGAATTGAAATCTGATTCTATGATGCTTTATCATCAAAGAGGTAGATTATTAATGAAAGAACATAGGACTTTTAAAAATGAAGAGTTTGAAAATAGATGAAAAAGAAATTACTTAAATGTTAAACAATAAAGCTTTTGATTAGAATTGTTGGAAATAGTCTAAATTAAGAAGTAAACTAAAAAAATATTATAAAGAAATTATACTAGGATAGCAATAAATTATAATGCAAACTATTGAAGATTTTAATAAAGCTTTTGAATTGAATCCTGAATTTCTTCAAGCTAAATTTTGTAGAAGTAATTGATATTTAATACATAGATTTATTAAAAGGAATGATTAATGGTGATAGAATAAGTTTGAGTGGATTTATTGAATTCCTTTAAATAAAACCTAGTTTATTTGATAGTATTATTAATATTTAATAATATTCTAGAAGTCGTTGATTAAGATCCTAATTAATCTGAAGAAGATGAGATTAGTAGTAAGTATTTTAACATAATTAAATAGTGTTAAAATATTATTTTTGTGGAATTAAAAATTAGAAATTAAAAGATTCTGAAAAACCAATTGATATCGATTACAAAACTTTACTTTAATATTTTAGTTAATGTAATTAGAAGAATTATATTATAAGCACCTATAGAATAGAAGATAATTAAGTAAGAAAAAATGATAAAAGAATTAATCAATAAGATTGAATTAGATTCAAATTCAGCTGAATTGTATATAAATATAGGTAATATATCACTAATAATAAGGAAATTTATATATGAAATAAAGAAATTATGAATTGGCACTTGAAAATTTAAACAAAGGTATTGAATTGGATCCAAAATCTTTTTTAGCTTATTTTAAGAGAGGTATGAATTAATAGAAAACATATTAGCAAAACTGTTTATTAATTTGTAATATTATTATAAATCTCTTCAAGATTATTAAGAAGCTCTTAAAATATTAGAGTTTGATCAAGAAAATCTTGAAAAATAAGTAAATATGAATTAATAGGATTATTAATCTAAATCTTTAAATATAATTAAATTAGTGAAAAATATATAGCATGGGATTACTTAAATCAAATTATAATTTAGAAAAGCAGAGAAATTAAATTAATAATAAACTTAGACTTCTTACGATTTGTTGTCACTCTTAGAGTAATAAGTTAAATAATAATTGAGAGGATAATCATCATAATTTAATAATAATTAAGATTATCATTAAAATAAAAAAAATTATTTAAAATAAATTAATGTATAAAATGAATAAATTAACAGTGATTTAAATAATGTTCGAAATTCAAATTCTAATTTATAAGCACATACAAAAATCCATGATCAAGAAACTAATAATGAAATTTTATAATTAGAAATATAAAAGGAAACTTCAACTATTGATTATCAAGACTTATTAAAATAATAATAAAATTTATATCAAAATTATAGAATTTCATTGGATAGATCAATTTTTTATTTATTAAAAAATTTTCCAGATTTATTTACATTTAATGAATAAGAATCTGATCTTGAAGACAATTAAAGAAGTTAATTAGTTTTAGAAAATGGATTATTATTGGGTTTAGGAAGCTCTGGATAAGTTTATTATACAGTTAATCCAAAAACTAATAAACCTGCTGCATTAAAAGTATAATCAAATTGCACTTTTGATGATATAATTTACAAAACTATTGAATGTAAATTACAATATTCAATTTCATTAAAATATCCAGAATCTATTATAGGAATATAAGGTAAAATTATAATTAGATAAAATTCTTTCAATAATTATAATATGTATGCCTATTTAGATCTAGGTCTTGGTAGTTTAAGATATTTTAGAAATAAAATGGTTAGATTTACAGAATCATAACTTGATAATATATATAATTCCATATTAGATAGTATAATTAAACTACATACTCTAAATATATCTCATGGAGATATTAAATTGGAAAACATCATTAATACAACAGATAATGGATGGGTTTTGGGTGATTTTGGCAGTGCATAAGCTTATTTAACTCCTTATGGAAATTATCCAATTGTTGGAACTATGGCTTATTTACCTAAATAAATCAGAAAAGCCAGAAATAATAATCATTAATACTTTAAAATGAATTTATTCAAAAAAGACATTTATGCATTTCAATTAGTAATGCTATAACTTATATTTTATGAGGAGAATTTTTATAAGCTCCAAAAAATACTAGATGAATAATAATATATTCATCCAAAAATTGATCAATTATACAATAAAGATTTTATTTCTATAAAAGCTGAATTTATGAAATTGAAATTCGAAAGAAAATAATTAATTAAATAATTAATACCCATCCATGTTCAAGTCTATTAAAATTTTAATTTAAATTATTAATATGAAGTTGAATTAAATTCATACATCTATTTGAGTAATTTTGCAAAAGAGAAAAAACTAAATAATTTTTTGTATATATTACTAAAATTATAAAATATTGAAAATCTTGAAAATAGAGTGATGCAAATGAGAATAGCCAAAAAATTTTATAGAAAGTATACTCCTTTGATATCAGCTTAAGAGATTTTTGATGAGATTGTATTTGAGTAATTAACAAAATTAGAATATGATATATACTTTGATATATTTGAAATAAAAGGAGCTAAAATGTTACAATTAATGATTTGTTAAGGTTATTAATAAGTATAAAAAACAGAAAATTACAGCCTAAAATTATAAGAGGCTGAGATTCTTTATGTAATGGGTAATTGGGATGATGCAAGAATTATCATAAATGGCATTGACAATGAATTAGAATTAGATAATGATGAATAAATCTTAAAGTTATGTTATTTAAAAGCGAGATTAAATAATTAATGGATAGAAGCATTTGAGGATATCATTACGTATATTAGAAATTATAAAGAGCCCTTTTAAATGTTAATTGAATGGCAATTTATCATATTAGATTCGCTTTGGATTAATAAGTCATTAAGGTAAATAAACATAATGTATTTAAAATATTAAGTTTGGGAACCAGAAAAAATTAAAAGAAAATTAAATTTAACAAATTATCTTCCTTAATTATTGTTTGACTTTAATAGTTTTGAAATATTTAAATAATAAGAGGTTACATTTCATTCATTCATGGAATAAATGAGATAGTTCAATTATGATAATTACTCTATTTTTTTTTAATTCTGGGCATATTGTGAATTATGTGATTATAATTCTGAAAACTATTATGATCTAATCACATTATTTATAAATTTTATAGAGGATAATTTAGAAGAATATTATTTTATTTGGATTGCATATGATTAGTTTGCTTAATATCTTACTTATATAAAAGATTATAAATTGGCACATTAATATTTTGAGAAAGCATTAAAAATAATTTAAAATGATTGTCCTTTAAATTAATATAATGTTTATTACCATTTGTGGAGATTAGAATTTAAAGAAAAATAATAATGTAATTGGGATATTTTTGGTATCATATTGAAGATTTTAATGAAAATGCCAAAAACAAACTTAAATGATTATCTTGAAAAAATTTTATTTGATGAATTAAACTCTTAAGTTAAATTATTTAATTTTAAACTTGATACAAAACCTTTAGTATAGGAAATATTATCAGAAGAAGATATCAGAACACTTAGTTTAAACTCAGAATTATAGAGAAGATTTTTTTAAAAAAATATTAGTTTTTAAGAATGTATGTCTATTATTGAAGAATTATTTCCATAAGTTTATATAAGATCAGGAAATAAACATAATTTTGATGATTTTTTAATTTTTTCATTTGCAAATTTGACTAAAATGAAAACTGAAAGTGAATTTTTACAAAAACAGTTTTAATATCTTGTAAGATTATTGTAGTCATTTACAATATTATCATCAATTAATCCAAATAGCTAAATTTTCTAAAAATTAATTAATGAACATATTGAATTTAAGTCTTACATTTAAAAGTGTTTATTCTTTTTTGATGTAGAAAGGTCAGAAGAAGCATTTAACATGTACAATTCTTATTTGTATCATCAAATATACTATTGATTAATAAATTTACAAAAAAGACAAATAAAAATATCACAATTTTTTTATTAATATCATTTAATATTATACATTTTTCAAGAAGTTATTTATAATTTTATTAGTTATTTTTAATACTTAATGTAATGATTCTAAATGAATGTTTGAATGTTCTCAATAAGAGGAGGTTATAGTCACACATACGCCTATTTTATATTTGTTAGAATTAATTTTTATGATTTTAGACATAAGATAGATCTCTATTTAAAATGATTTTATTTAGAATTTAAACCGAATCATCTAGATACCCAGAAATACTATATAATTTATTTATTAATTAATTAATTATTTTAAGTGAACTCAAGAATTAAAATAATATTTATTTATCATACTTATTTTGATAAAATAAAATATTTTTTTTTTAATTTTAACTAAATGTAAAAAGTTATATTTAAGTATGCCTAATTTATCATAAAAATGAATCTTAATATCATTTAAAAATAGGTTTATCATTATAACATTTATATCAGCATTAAGAAGTCATTAAATGCTATGATGAGGCTTAAAAAATCAATCCGAATTGTAGCGACATGTTATAATAAGGGTAATAAAATCTAAAATATTTTTAATATTTTAGGCAATGCTTTATTATAGAAAAGATTCAATCATCGAAGATAAGGAATTTATATAGTCATTAAAAAGCCAATATAGTGAAGCTTACTATAATAAAGATAATTGAGTTCTATCATATATTTGATTTAGTTGTTTCATTAAAGAACTTGAATCATTACTAGGAAGCAATTAAAACTTATAATAAAACTTTATAAATTGAATCCAAAACTAAACTAAGAACAATATTAATTAGTCTAATTGAAATTAATAATAAATTTTTGTTATTTACTTTTCTAATTATATATATATCACAATTTATTTATTTATGATTTTAGAAATTTTTTGATATTTAGTAACCTTCATTTAAATAAAAACAGATAAAATAACAAATAAATTCATAAAAATAGCAAATTATTATCTTAATAAAAGCCAAAAAAGGATATAAAATTAAAAATAATGATAGTTGATTATCATTATTCATCTTTATTGTTTATTATTTAATTCTAAGTTAATTCATACATTACATAAGTAATTATAGATTTTACTTCTCTTATCATTCATTATCCTATAATAGAATGGACCTTTAAATTATATAATTTTAATTTATTTGATTTCTTAATTTAGAATTATATTTTAATTTATAATATACTTATTAATGAATTAATTGATATACTAATTTAAAAAAAAATTATCAGTAATGAATAGAATTTTTCTTCTTAAATTCCACTTATATCTATATGAATTATATATTATATTAATGAATTAGAATAAATTATATGAACCTAAGGTTTGCGAATAGGAATAAAAACTTTATAATTTGAAATAAGAAAGCTATAAAACTATAAATATTTTTGTTTGTTATGACTTAACAAAAAAAGCATTGATACCATTGAAATTTGCAAAATATTCAACCAAGATATAATCTGGTTTGTGCATAGTAGAATTAGAATTAATATATTCTAGTGAAGAATAGAATGATCCAATGGAACTGGAATACGTTTTTTCAATAAATGAAAATGCAGTTGTTACTAAAATGGTTGTAGAATTAGGAGAAATTAAAGTTTATGGTGTAGTGAAGGAAAAGGAGGAAGCTAAATAAGAGTATGAAGAAGGTTTACAACAAGGAAAAACTATGGCATATAGTGAATAGGATATGAGATTTCCTTAAATAAAAAGAGTAAAAATAGGATAACTTGCACCAAATAAACAATTGAAAATTACTTTTGAATATATATAACCTTTAGAGGTTTTTCTTAATAAATTTTGGAAATTTGATTTATTCCCTATTGTTGATCAAAATTATGTATCTTAGAATAGAAAAACAATGATTGGTATTCATGACATAGAGATTTATGAATATTTAAATAGATTATTTAAAATTAATGATTTCAAGTTTTAATTTAGATAAGAAATTGAAGTGGAAATAGATTTTGGATCACCTATTACATTTTGGAAATCTCCTACTCATAAACTGTAATCAAAAAATGCAAAATAAAGTGAAGATGTTAAATCTTATGGAAATAATAAAAAATTAATACTTGTTTTATAGGATATTCCTGATAATTATGAACCAACTAAATAATTTACATTACTTTTTTCTTCAGATGAAATTAATCTACCTCGTGCCATCCTAAGTCATACTAATAATGATGCCCTATAATATTAAAAATATTGTGCTACCTTAACTTTTATTCCAAAATTTAATGAGATTTCTTTAGATGATGCTTATACATAATATCTAGATGGTTTAAGTATAGCTGAAAATCAAGTAATGAAAAGAGGTAATTACTTATTTATGATTGATCGAAGTGGTTCTATGAGTGGATCAAGAATCAGAAAAGCTAAAGAATCATTAATTCTGTTTCTAAAAAGTTTACCTTAAGATTCTGAGTTTAATATAATATCATTTGGTAGTAATTTTTAATCAATGTGGAAAGAATCCAAAAAATATTCATAAACTACATTAGAAACTGCAATTAAGAATGTTGAATAAATGGATGCTGACATGGGAGGAACCCAAATTATTACTCCATTGTAGCAGATGGTATATAATAAAAGTTATGGACTCTCCAAATCAACTACTTTAAATGTATTCTTGCTTACTGATGGAGAGGATTAAGCTGATCCTATTATTAATATGGTTAAGAATAATAATTTAGCATAAACTAGAATCTACACTTTAGGAATAGGTGAAGGATGTAGTTAATATTTAATAAAAAGGTTGGCTGAAGTTGGAAATGGTAAATATCAAATTGTTAGTGATAGAGAGGATATTAATGAGAAAGTAATTGACTTATTGGAAGATTCATTAACTCCATATTTACAAGCTTTTAATTTAGAATCTAATATAAATAATATTGCCTAGATCATTCCAAATCCAGAATCAATTATTTGTTTGAAAAAAAATTAGGAACTAACAATCTAAATTCTTTTCTCAAATTAATAATAATAGGAAAATCTAGATTTTAAGATTAATTGTTATGATCCCTAAAATGAAAAACAAATATAATATTCAGTAAAATTAAACTTAAATTAATCTTAAAATAATGAATATTTTCATAAATTGGCTACCTATAAATTTATTACTTATTTTGAGAACTCAATAAAATATGGTTAATAACATGTGAATTTTATTAAACTTAATAAATAGGATATCAATTCAAAAGATATTATTAATTTATCTGTTTAACATCAAATACTGTGTTCTAAAACAGCATTTGTATGTGAAGTTTGTGATTTGGAGGATTAATTTAAATAATAAATCTAATCAAAAGTATATTTTATTTAAACTAAATAAGTAAGATCTAATTCAATTGATAAATAAATAATCAAGAGTTCAAATTACAATATATGTAGTTTGTAACTTAAATAAAGCTATTAATGTCAAAGTTCATCAGGTTGTTGTGGAGGAGGTGGTTCTTAAAAAAATTATGTCAAACCTAACACATATTCTTAACCTCCTTAAAAACAATAAGATCTCAAAAATTAACATTTATTATTATAGCAAAATTAAATAGATTAAAATATAGATAAAACAGATAATCATCAACTTACTTATGAATAATTGATCAAATTTGCATAGGCAGATGGTAGTTTTAAAATTAATAAAAATATTTAATCTATAATCAATTTTAAGAACCTGAAAAACCATTAAAATCTAACGGATGATGTTTGGTTTACCTTCCTTATTTTATTATATTTAGAAAATAATTTTAGTCAATTTAAAAAATCATGGTAGTTAGTTTATTAAAAAGGAATATCATATTTAAAATAAAATGGAATAGATTACAAAACAAAGAAAAATTAATATAAGATATGATATTTTATATTTAATATATTTTTATATCGATTATTTTAGTAAAGAATGACATCATTACATCATATATTTCTAATTAAGTATATTTAATTTTTTTACTTTAAGGAGATCAAAAAATCTCTTTATTTATGAAATTAATATTTCAATTTGTATGCCTTTAATTATCAACTTTGTTAATTCTTCTAATAATAGTATCAAACAATTAATGACCAGATCATAATAAAATAAATGACGTATTTTTTTTAGTTAAGTAGAAAAATCAAATTATTTTTGAATTTATAAGTTTCATTAATAATAAGTTGCTTTCAATTTAACCTTTCATAATTTACAGATTGTTACTAGTTTTTTTTTGAACTAAATTACTTTTAAATTAAATGTTCTTTAAGATCGATATCATGAAGATGAATTATTATTTACTTTATTTAATTAACTCAATAAAATAACCATAAATACTCTAAATTATATCATTTATAAATAGGATTTAAATAAATTATATATTATATGAATAAATTTTAAAGCTTTAATTTTTCATCTATATTTGCAATAATAGGATTACTCCATGATTGAGTATTTTTTAACTTTGCGATTATCATTAAGGACAGTTTATAAATTCAAATTCATTATCAAAAAGATCTCCTTTTTTTAATTCTAGTTAATATTATTTTGCCAAATTTTTCTTTTTAAAAAGTATCAAAATTAATTTTTCATTTGAACTCTTCATAAAATCAATAATATTAATATCCCCTCTTCTTTTGGCATTTTATTATGCAAAAAACAGAAATTATTGAATTTATTTTATCTATTATTAAATGTATATTTTTTGAAATGGTAATAATAATTTATTTTCTTATATTAATAATATCAATTTTATTTTTAAATACACGTTATATATAAAAAAATATTATTTATTTTTTAATA